TGATTGAAGCAAGGACAAGAGTCAGTGTAGCAACCGTTCCCCTATCTCTTCTTTTCAATCAATCAATCAATCAAAATACGTTTATTTACATCTTATAGGTATATGATACATTAATTGTTAGTATTAGATGAATGGCGGACTGCTCAGGACTTGTGTCCTCTTCAGCCCTTGGTTAGTACGTGATGTATGAAATGTATTTACAATGCATGCTATTTGTCTATGCTATACTGTGCAGGTATCGGCTCGTGTCCTTGGTGCATTGCGCGTCGTCGTTGTCGAGGGGGTGGTAGAGTTCGCGGTCGGTTCTCGTTCGGTGTAGGATTGGTGAGGGTGGTGTTGTTGGTGTTGGATTCCGGTACGTGTGTCCTTATCTGAAAAAGAAAAAAAAAGAAGGCAGTAAATGTTTCTTTTTGGTTTTTTAGTATGGTTTGCGTTACCGGATGGTGTAAGGGGCGTTGTCAAGGAGCTCTTCGAATTCCTGGGGTAGGTCTTCGAGTAGTTGGGTTAGGAGTACGGGAGGGAATTTGAATTTCCTTTTGGGTTTTCGGGGAAGGGGACCTCCTGTGGCGGATTTATTGCAGGGGATCTTTAGGATATCTTTGGTGGGCTGGGTGTCGCCGTGGACCCTGCGCTGTGCAAATCTTGTTTGTAGGGATGCGAGTCTGTGTGTGATAGGTTGTATGTTTGCGTGTTCGATGGTAAGGTCGGAAGGGTGGCGTGGATCGAGTCTGTGTATTTTCCGTAAGATATTGCGTTCGCAGGCGGCGATTTGGTGTCGTTGACTAGAGGAGAGGGTGCAGTACAGGGGGGCTCGGTAATCGATGAGTGGTCTGATGTACGTTTTGTAAGTGTGTTGGAGCGTTCTGGGGTCACATCCGTTGAAGCGACCCCGAAGGGCGCTCAGTAGTTGTGTGCGTTTCCTAACTTTGTCTAGTGTGAGCGTTAGGTCGTGGTTCCAATTCAACGTACTTGTGAGATGAACTCCTAAGTACTTGATTCGGTTTGTGAGCTGTAGCGGTGTGTTGTTCAGGTGTAGGTGAACGTCTTCGTGTTGTTGTCGTGGGTTTTTACTGTAGTCGGGGTGTCTGAAGAGTATTGTTTGTGTTTTCTCGGGATTTAACTGGATTCTCCAGCGATTGGCCCATGTCGTGTATCGTGTGAGAGTGTCGTTCAGTGTGCGTGTGGCTCTTGTGCTGGTGCGGTCTGTTGTCCAAAAGGCAGTGTCATCTGCGAATAGTGTACAACTGGTTTTGGCGTTGCCTGGTTGTGGTGTGTCGTTAGTATATATGATGTAAAGAAGGGGAGCGAGAGGTGAGCCTTGGGGAACCCCTGCGAGGGGTGTGAATGGATCGGATAGTTCTCTGGCAACTTTTACTCTGGCAGTTCGATTGGAAAGGTATGATAGCAGGAATTTGGTCATTTTATCGTGGATATTCAGGGAGCGGAGCGTGTGGATTAGTCCGGCGTGCCAGACAGAGTCGAAGGCTTGTTTGATATCTAGGAAAATTGCGAGAGTGCAGTTGCCGTTGTTGAAGGATCTGACAATCTCTGATTGCAGTTTAAGGAGAGGATCTTGGGTGCATCTAAGGGGTCTGAAACCAAACTGTGCGGGAGGTAGGAGATTGCTAGTCTCCAGATGGTGTCTTAATCGTTGGGCCATAATTTGTTCGAGGGTTTTTCCGATGCAGTTTAAGAGAGATATGGGTCGGTAAGAGGATGCTCTGGTGGTATCTGCTTGTGGTTTTGGGATCATGACTATGGATGAGGATTTCCA